CCCCGAATCGCCTCAGTACGCGAACTGGGCAGGTCACAATCAGGCAGCGGCATCCTCTAAACAGGCATATCAGATGGCATAGCTCCCCTGAGAGCTGTACAGACCCCCTAAGAGCCTCACAGCCTCTCTGCAAGCCAATCTATAGTTGGTGTTATTCTGCATTGCTGTATATTGTATTGCTGGTATTTGTAGTCCTCTATAGTTGGTAATATTTTGCATTGCTGTATAATGTACTCTGTAGCTGGTGGTATTCTCCATTGATGTGTAATGTATTGCTGGAATATGTAGACCTCTATAATTGACTGTATTCTGCATTGCTGTATAATGTATTGCTGAGATGAGTTCCTTTACAGGTTGGAGTCAGTGGCAGAACTACCAGGGTCACAGTGGTCAAAGCTGCAACTGGGCCCTGGTGCTCCACCACTGACTCCAAGCTGTAGAGCAGGGGTCTCAAACTCAATTTAGTCGGGGGCCACTGGACACATTTTTTAGTCCCGTGGGGGCCGCTACTATATACGGTACCAGTTTCACATGTTTTTGTAACTGCATGCAATCATATCACATACGATTACATGCGGTATGCAGGTGTGTACATGCAGCGGCTGTCACCTGATCATTAACTTGAATGGGTGACAGTTGCTGAATGTAAACTCCAGGAAAATGCAAGTTTGTGACACAGAAATCCCTAATCGCAACTGAAATATAGGGACCCCCCCCATTCCAATCCGCCTCGCACACATAATAATACACTCCCCCCATTCCAATCTCCCCCCCCGCACATATAATAATACTGGGCCATTACAGGCACTGAGACATTTCACGATCTCTGCAGCTGCGGACCAGGAACATGTCTCAGTATCTGTGATTCAGATGTCAGCTTCCTGGCGGGCTCGGCATGTGGAGCTGCGAACACACCCGAGCCCATCACTACTCCCAAGCCCCCTACACACATAATACACTTTCCCTCCTTTCCTTCCAAGCCCCCTCACCTGCTTGCATCTGTGCACATCATCATTCCCTGGTTATCTAGTGGTGATTAGTAAGGTCTAGTGCAGACCTTACTAATGAACCATCATTCGACCGGAGCTCAGAACTGGCAGAGCTCCGGCCAGAGCTGACAGGAGCAGCTCTGCGGACTGCATCAGACAGAGATGCAGACCGTGTAGCTGCTCCCGCAAGTTGGGCACACGGTCCGTGACCGCGTGACCGCGTGCCCGACTTGTCAGCTGGCTGTGGGCCACATAGTACCGGCTCGTGGGCCGAGACCCCTGCTGTAGAGAGACTGTTCCCTTGCACTGTGCTGCGTAACATGTACCTTATAGCACACTGCAATGGAACACTTCACTCATTAGCACAGTACAAAGGTACATGTCACTCTGTAGTGTAGTTAAAACCTCTTGTATTGTATTTTTCTTCTAAGATTTAAGCACATATTTAGTTCAGACAGTCGTACAAATAAAAAAAAATGAAGTGCTTTTCTAAAAGAAACCATCAGTATTCAGGTCTAAGTGCAGGGTTGACACTTTGAGACACATAAGTTGGTTTAGTGATCCAGTTTGGCCACTCTGGCTCAAAAAGGTTTGCCATCACTGTCCTATGGGAATCTTCAATAAGTACGTTTACTAACTTGTAGATTGATATGGTTATTAGGAGTGGGAAGAAACGTATGGATATTTAATACAGAAATACAGATTTATGTTTAGTTTTTTTTAACCAAATGCTGTATACCCTTTAATAGAGGCAGAATTATTGCACCAAGTCACTTAATAATATGCATTTTTTTTAAAAATTCAAAACAATAACAAAAATAAGGAGAAGCAAAAATGTCATATAAAAGGTGCACTGCAATAACATATGTGCACACTAAAAATACAATATACTTTTTCTTTAAAACAAGGAAACATACTGAGCTGTATTTTTGAAGGCTTAAATTCATGACAATTCAGAAGATGTGGACATCTGAACCCATGGGCTAGCAGGTCATCCAGATGCAGAAGATGAATGTCAGAATAAATGTGGTGTTATTTAGTGGATAGCTTATGCCCCCAAAATCAGGTGGCATGCAATATGTTTATGTTTGATTGCAGTGAGCCTTTAAATCAGGGGTCCTCAAACTTTTGAAACATGGGGCCAGTTCACTGTCCCTCAGACATTGCTGTGGGCCGGATCATAGTTTGAAAAACAGGGGGGGGGCGTGGCTGTGGTGCCGCACCGCCACGCCCCCTCCCATCCCAGAACAAAGGGGGAATGTTAGTGATGGTGTGAATGGTGTTACGCTGCTAAAGGAACCAAGGCATTTGGTTTGCCTCGGCATGCGCCCTGAGATGAAAGGGCGAAGCCGCGCAGGCCAAACACAGAAGCTGCCAAGCTTCCGGAACAGTCTGTGTGTCTTCCCTGACACCCAGGCGGGGCCGGCGGAATGACGATCTCTCCCTGGACCCCGCGGGCGGATTGCTTTTATGTTAACAGGCATCTCTGCCTGTTTTTAAATTGACTGGATTTCTCGCTCGCCGCAAGGGCCGTGGCTTATCTAGAGAGCTCCCGGCTGGCCGTTTTTTTACAACGGCCGGCCGGGAGGTAGTAAAGGTAGGGGCCTGCAGCTCCCCGGCCTTGACACCCGAACGGGCCAGGCCAAGGACCCTGGTGGGCCGGATGGGGCCCGTGGGCCGTAGTTTGAGGACCCCTGCTTTAAATGAAAGATGATGAAGTTAGGGAAAGTCAGATCAATGTGTAGAAAAAAATCCAAATTCCGTGTCCCTGTTCCTCCTGGGAACTTCATGCTGTGCCTCATCTGCATGAGTGTTTCAATTACTCAGAAATGTATATGGGCCCATTTGGACCCAGATAAACTGCTAAGCAAGCCATGCAGGTGTCTTGGTCCCAGTGCTGAAGGGGCCTGGCCGCAGGTCTGTGCAGGTGGCTCTGAGACCCTGGGATACACATAGTTTCCAATGTCACTAAAAAGAACCTCTGACAGCGGGGTGCCGGGCACCCAACACAGCCGCGTCTTCTCGGCAGGGAGAAGAGGGGCGGCTCAGGCAATGAAACTGTCACAGGTCGGCTCAGTAGATCGGGAAGTGTGCGAACACATAACGGCGTTCGCTCACTTCTCGATCCTGTCACGGCTCTCTGCCGTGACAGGGGAGGGACTGAATTCCCCCCTCCCTGCTCCGATCCTTCACTGCTGACTGGCGGAACTGAAGGGGAGGGGGCGGGTACAGCTGGCTCTGCCTCTAGATAGGCAGAGCCAGCTGTCACTCACGCAGCTGGCCGGATCCAGACATAATTGTCGGGTTCCGCTTCAGCTGCGGCGTCTCAGTATACCACGAGCTGCAGACTTTCATGGAAAATGAACAAAGAACCCTAAAGATTGCAGCACTGTAGTTGCAAAAATGTGTGACATTCGAAATGAAACATATTGGTTGAAATGTTTTAGCAACTTGTTGGCTTATCGTTTAGGCCCTGTTAACACCAGCGCCGTTCGTTGCGTGTTTTTTTTCTGCGCTGAAACGCATGCAAATTAAAATCCCATGTATGCCTATGGGAGCTGTTCATGCAAACGCGCTGAAAAATATGCCTGTTGTTTCAAATAGTCACTGGGCTTCTTTTGTGGAACTTATCATCCCGCTTTGCTCCATAGACATCAATGCAAACGCGCTGATCAGCGCGTTTCTGTGTTTTTTAGCACTTTTTTGCAGCTGAGCCTGAGACTTTATTTGGACAACTGAAAACGCACCTTAAAATGCTATTACATATAAACAGAAAACGCATGCAATACATGCATACAAACATGCAAAATGGCGCTTAAAAAAGTGTGTAAAGCGAGTTGAAAACGCACCCTAAAACGCTATTACACATGAACAGAAAACGCATGTAAAACATCCATAAAAAGACGCAAAATGGCGCTAAAAAAGCACGTAAAGCCTGCTGAAACGCTGTCGCCCTGGGGTGAATGGGATCTTAGGTAGACAATCATTTTCAATGCAGCAATATTTTACAGTCCAGGGCAATAAGGCAACAAATATAGGCCATTTGATATTGACAAATATCTGACAAATGTTGATAGTTTGCTTTAGATGTTATTGATAAAGAGTTTTCCATATCCAAATATTTTGGAAGAATTGTCCAGAGTAAGGCCCGGCAAAGTTCATAGAGCTCATTAGACAGATGCCTGTGCCCAGCAAAGAACCGCCATTGTATGGCCATTTAAACCGATTATTGGTAAATCTTCTAATCAGAGGCCTGCGATACAATGTTCCATTATTAGATTACTTCCTTTGCAAGGAACGCTATGCTTCGTTTGTTACCTGGGGCTACACCGAGTAATTAATGTCATCAGCCACCCTCCCAAATAAATCATAGCTCATGGATTTGAATGGGTAGCGGGTGACGAAATGGCCCCAGCAATACATTTAAAGGTCTTTGCTGAATAATAAATGTGGAGCCATCCTCCCTACAGTCCTACTCTCCCGGAGATGTATTTTATTTCTTGCACACTTGCTAGTCAGCCCCATCTTTTCCATGTGTTTAGTGATTCAGAGCTCCCAGCTGGTTTCAGATTGTGAATGGCTAATAACCTAAACTAATTTCTGAGGTCTTCACCCCTCCCCCAAACGCCATTCGCTTTCACTGTACTGTCTGCTGTGTGACTACAGCTGGTGCCTCCCCAGCAGGCTGCAGGGACTGAGTGTGCATGTGGGTGGAGGTGGGGAGTGGAGCACAGGAGAGCCAGCCAAGGGAAGGGTTAAACTAATTGTAGCTGTCACTGAATCCCCGGATGCTGATGTAAGGAGAGAGAGAGAGAGAGAGAGAGAGAGAGAGAGAGAGAGAAAAAGAGAGAGAGCAGCCTGCCCATTACAGAGGAGGAAGAGAGAGAGAGAGACAGAGATTACAGAAGAAAAGCCTGGAAGGAGGGGGCCAGAATACATCATCAAAAACAGCAGCAGCAGCCTGAAGATCCGATCTGCATCCAGCAGTAGCCAGGGCTGCCTTCCTATACAAGGGGATCCTTGAAGAAGAGTGGCAGGGAAGAGGACAGTACATCCCCTGCACTGTCTATCTCCCCCTGCTCTTTTGTTCTAGCCTGGGAGAAAAGGACAGGCCTGCATTATATTTTTTTTTAAAGAAGGGGGATCATATTCTGGGACCATGTCCAGTGGCAAGGAGGCCGGTGGAATTCACCCTTACCAACAACAGCAACATGCCCAATACGTTGGACCCTACAGACTGGAAAAGACTCTTGGCAAAGGACAGACAGGTGGGCCTTCATTCTTACTACATGAGGATAATTTGCTTTAATGTAATGCTATTGGTGGTGTTTGCATGGTTTTGCTGCCCTTGGTGATGTCAAATGTTGAACCCAGAGTACCAGCCGGGTACGGTTTCAGCATTAGTAGCTATCTACAAGAGGGATTGAGATGACCGGGTAGAGTTTAGAGCCCTGTGTGGCTAGTGCATGAACTAATGGAGTTAAACCTCCATCTATAGAGCATCTTATGTATGTGGTTTCCCTAAACTGGTCCTGGTTAGGAATAAGGGAACATCACTAAACCCCTCAGCCTATCCAAAGCTGCAGGATCTGTCTGCTTGGTATGCATGGATTATAACATGACAGAGCATAATGCTTTATAATCTCTAATCTTGCTAGACTCCTACATTGTTCTTCTTCCAAATTAAATATGACACTTGCTGGTGTATTCTAATTGTATCTATAGCACAAGTCCTGCCTGGGATGCTATGTTTGTAAGCTGTGCTGTAAATGGTCTGCCCAGTGATGTAATGCTGCTGATCAGTGATGGGATAGATCACTGCTGATCTGTGATGGGATAGCTCATAATGTCATACAAGTGCTCTGTTCTGCCTTCTGTCATGTGAAGGTTCCCGGCTGTGATGTTAAGGTCCTGTTTTGTGATTTGATCATTCCATGGATCTGTTCTATGACTTGCATGCTCCTTCCAGTCATAGGAGGGCTGTATTTTGGTTTTAATGAAGGTTCTAATCTCTGATGACTATAATAAGACTGTTGTGGCTAGTTAGGTTTCCAGGGACCTTTCATAGGGATATCCCCTATTACATGCTTACCGTATAATTAGTTTTGACATTCTCACCATATGTGTAGTTTACTGTCACTACTGTTTAATTGACTTTCCTCTGCTGCAATGTAAACTTTGGCAAATATGTTTCTATCTATATATCCCTGATAAACTTTATGCAGTATACAAATAATATTTAGTATCACGTGCGCCTCTTTTTGGTATTTCTTAATGAGTTAAGGCTGTTTTATGGCAGCTTTGGTTCTGCCTTCCAGGATTATATAGGGTTATGTGTTACATTAGTGTTAATAATTTATTAGCTGCTCTAATGTATAGACCTGCGTTATATATGGGATCCTGCTCTATGGAACTGCATTATATTGTACAACAGTGTCTTGCTCTGGGGACCCGCAGTATGTGTGTGTATATATATATATCTATAGCAGTTCCTCTGCAGTACTCATCTCATGATTTTAGTCTCTGATGTAATGATCAAATATGATAAAGGGCTATCAATGACATATATAGTGCTTTAGCCTCCAGCTGTGCTGACATCTCAAATAATTTCTAATCATGAACACATCAGCACCTCACTAGCACACTCTCCTTTAGCCCATGACAGGGTTTCTCCTCACCAAAAAGGTCTTTTATTCTCCTGGGGCTAACAGAAAATGGAATGACAATTTTATTGAGTGGCAAAATCAGATTGCTGCCTATTTTCATGTATGACGTGCAAATGTCTTAACAACCCAAACTGACGGCCTCCCTCCCCCTGTAATACGGAACCTGCAATCCAGAAATCGTATGTTTACTTTACAGAGTGTTACACTGCATTTGCATATTGTGTCTGAACGAGAAAGTGTAGATTGAATGCATTGAATGACTTGCGGCCCGCTTGGGATGCTTATAGAGTTGAATGACTTTCTGCTTCAATGCAGCATTTACATGCAGGCTAAAGCATGGGAGAGGCTTACTAAGAGAATTGTGAATTGCATAGTGATTTCCATAGACAAGAGCAAACTATCATAATGTTTTTTTTGAGTAGATTCTGAAAAGACCTTGAGCTGCTTGGGTATATATCTCCAGAAATGCATGAAAGATCATTGACTAGGTAAAGTTATGTTTTATGCAGGCCCAGTAAAATGATTGCTTTGATCACCTTTAGGACCACACTCAAGATTGAGATAATCACAAATAGCTCTACTGCCTGTGATATTATTGCAATAAGAAAAAGAAAAGAAACATCCCATAACGCCATAGGCAGGATGCAAAACCATTTGCAGTTGCTGCACTCTGTGTTTGCCATGCCTGGCACAATTTCATGGATTTTGTATACTGTTACTTCTGCCTGTCCAACATCACCACTATACGACCATCTCCTCTCTATTCCAAGGACTTCGCTGGAGGTAGGTGAGGATTTCTTTAGAACTTTAGACACCACAAGGAAAATAACAAAAGATTTCAGTTTATAAATATGAACGTATTAGTTGGTCTATATACCTTAGTAGGGCAGCAAGGGAAGGGTAGTGAGTATATAATAAAGTTTCGGAGTCCACAGATTTCCACATGAACAACCCTCAACATGTGATGGGATATTCAAGGTCAGTACATGTACCTGATTCATGAATATACTGTAAAATACTAAACATGATATAATAAGATGAAGGCACCAAGCAGAGCTGAGCCAACCCCAGAACTTCTGAATAAAAGTTTAGATGGGACATGGGTTTAACACATACATACAACTCAAGCATAGAGGCCAAACAGCTCTCTGCAATTGAAGTGGAAGTCAAAATGTTGCAAGGAAAAATGTCAAATCGGCAGGCTTTACATGACAGAAGAGACTGTGTAAATTCTTGCTTCTTGCCGCCATTTTCTGTACACTGAGTCGCACATGTACAGCTCAGTGCACAGACCCGGCATGGCAAGACAAAGTAACTCCCATGCGCAGTACTTACATGACCAGGGCCTGGCCTAGGACTCGAAACCAGGACAAAGACAAGAAGAAAGATGTCAGTGCCAACAAGAGAGAAGTGCAGCGCTGGAGGGGATCACTTGGGCAGGCAAGTCTGCCATAATGTGCTAGTATGCTGTAGATACTGGCACATTATGGGTACAAAAACTCATGGGCCCTCCTTTTTTTAAAAATTACACTTAATACAGTGGCCAACCGTGTGTGATTATGATTACTTACATTATTACATGTAGTTGTTGCTTTTTACATACATGGCATCATGTATATATGTTTCAGATTCTATCTTTACTTTGTTGACTTTACAGTAGTTTACTTAAAATACAGGTCAAGGTACAAAGGTCTAGGTGGGTGACAGTGATTAGCAAGCTTGCCTTGCAGCTTTGTATACTGCATTTAATTCCCAATAGGTAGACTGCCTTCATGGGGTTTGTTTGCTCTCCATGTTTCTTCCCACAAATCTAAAGCAAACTCATAGGTTCCTTCCAAACTGGACTGCATGCCTATGTGTGTGCTCCAAACATCAGATTCAAGGTCCCTCTCAGAAAAGAGACTCATGTGCATCATTCCATGTATTTTGGAAAGGGCTGAATAGCATGTTGGTGCTAAGGGAATGTAGGAAATCATGAAAAAATCAAAACAATGACTCCCCAGGGCAGTTGGGTAGAGTGCAAGGATTTTAGCAAGATTTTTATATGCTTCCACTTTGTAGATGCTGCGACAAACTGTTCCCCTGACTTCTTAAACTGAAGGAAGTAGGAATGCCAAGTGGGAGGGTCTGTCTTCTATATAATCACATGATCAGTCACAGTGTTATAAAAAGTGAACATCTTCTGTAAAAACCAGTGATCCAGTCACATGAGCAGGAATTAGATTTCTGGAGTTGGGCTGTACGCATACAGTATACAAAATGCCCCCTTTATTGTCATGGTTGCCATAGCTGCACGGTAGTGACTAGATGGTTGAATCTTTTGGCAGTCATAGAAATGACAGCTGGCTGTAGACTGAAATAGAAATGTTATTTTGTAATAATATTACAATGCATAATTCTGTAGCAGTTATGCGCAGTATGTTATCTACTGGTGTGGAGTTTACCTTTAAAGTATACCTGTCAGTAAACTGGGCAATTCAAGTGGCTCTTGGAAGGATAAAACATGAAATCAGAGTTTCTCTTTAGTGAAAGCTGCATCTCGGAACGATCAGTGGATCCAGAGATGGATGCAGCTGAAGTTACTTACAGATCCAGATCTTTCCTTGACACCTATATTTAGATTCAAAGGGCTCTCTTGTCAGACAACACACATAAATTGAATCAATTGAGGTTTTTAAAATGTTTGTTTGTTTAAGTGAATGTGATCACCTTAACCCCTCTACAACAGAGTAACGCATATATGTGGCAGTGCGGTGGCAGGTCCTTAATGCCCAGCTGTTGATATATGTGTCGCTGTGTTGTGGGGCGTTCCTAATTGGCTCCCCTAAAACTGTGACCAAGTTGTCAGTGACAGATGATAGTCAACTATTGACACCTGGCAGGCGGTGGGATGGCCTCCCGTTTACATCATCACTGTAGAGCCAACCATAGTGAACAAATGAGTGGAAGCCCCACCTCCCGCTCTCGAGCATCATGGCCCATTTAGAGTGCTGCCTCTCTGCAGCGGCAAGGGGTTAATGTTATCATGTTATCAATTTGTGTTAATCTTTGAAATCCTTGTTTACATAGAACTTTGTTGATATATGTGCAGGATTAGTAGCTACATTTGCTCATTACACATAAGCATTATGCTTCTTGCTTCCAAGTGCTGTATAGTAACTGTATGTTCATGCTCCTTTTATCTTAGTCCATGTCCTGTCATTTTTTTTTTTTTTTTGTAACCCCTGTCATTCTGCAAGGATGCTAATTTAATTGATATACAGGTAGTGAACTAAATTTGGTTACTTAATGTGACCCTTAAGATACAACTTGAATAATGAAAGCATTCAGCACTTTTAGAGGCCACAAATGGGACCACAATACGTTTTTGTTCCTTTTTTAAAAAAATGTGAGGGCTACCTATATCCTTAACAGCATCATATTACCAGTACCTAAATCTGTGACCTTCTATAGTGCATGAACTATATTGATTTTTCTTAACACCATATGCTCCAGAGGAAGATGTAAATATCTGTATCAACGCTTTGAAGATATACTAACAAATCTCCTCAAACCCTAGAGGAAAGGCCTCTTAAAGTTCTTAAAGGAACTCTGTACAATGT